TATATCTTATTAATTCTGGTTCTGTAATAACAGTCCAATACCTTTCATCATTCAAGAGTTAATTTAATAAAAAGTGATTTGAATAGATGCTAGGAATAAATTCTATCCTGTAATGTAGTAGCTGAATAAAAATTACAATATTTGCTATATGTTGTAATATTTGTACCAATTGGGTACTTGCATGGAAAAAAATCACTTAAATTCAAACTGAAATAGAATTAAAGTGACAAAGAACATATATAAGATTGAGATTGTATTTTTTAAATTATAAAAAAAGGTTTATTTTTAGCTGAAAACTTAAAATAACAATGTGTCTGAGAGGTATAGTGGGGATTAGGAGTGTGGCCCTAAGTCCGTTGTAGCATGACCTGCACAGCTGACAAACATGATACTCTCAAATCTCTCTCAGTTCTCAGTATATGTGGGACTTAACAAACCTCTGCACAAGAACCTCATTTAGATCCTTCCTCAGTCACCTCAGATTAAAATAAAAGGATGGAAAAGGTATTTTTATTGTACTCAAAATTTACTGACAAAACACAGCTTAATTTAGAAAGGAATGTTGTTGGAAAATACTGCTGTTGCCTCAGACGTAAGCTAGGGTTTTAGGTTTAGGGTTCAGATTTCCATTTTATAGCACATTTCATTAGCATTTGCCTGTAAAAACTCCAAACCCAATTATCTATCCATTTCACAATCTGCAGAATAACATATTAAAATTTGATAATGAACAGAATTTTATAAACAACCATTTGTATACTTTATAAACAACCATTTATAAAACCTAATAAAATACATTTTTAATTTTATTCAGAGACAACAAAGTGAGAGAAAAAAATGGAAAGATAAAGATATTTCGTGAATGGAAGTTTTGAAAATAGAATCACATTTTTAAGCTAAAAAGTAAAATATAATCAATGAACCAGATGCTGGGGGCCCATGATGCAGCTTTGCCTTCATTCTCATAACATAGCTCCATCCCCACCACTTTTCTCTAACACTAATTATTTTTGCAAATATGCATCAGATAAATTTGAGACTTTTTAATTTTTATTGTTATAGCCTAATTTTCACCAATGAATAAAAATTGAAAAATCATGCAAGTAGCCAATTGCTGTAAGGACTCACCGGTTAGCAGATGTCTTGTGGTCAATTGCTGTATGTGTTAGCAATATGACAGGTGTTGATGGGCAGAAGAGGAGTGGAGATTACAAGGGGTAGTTGTTGGTTTTTGATAATATTAGTAAAACAATATATGTATGAACACGAGCTGTTTAAACATGTTGAATTTTGATTACGCTACAATCTCAAATAGAACATATTGCATGGGTGGTATACATATTCTATCTTTAATTTTAATTTGTAGAGGTGGGAACAAACCTCTGCACTAGAACATCATTTAGATCCTTCCTTAGTCATCTCTGTCACAAAACAAAGTATGCAAAAGTTATTTTTATTGTACTCGAACATTACTGACAGAAAAGAGCTAAATTTAGAAAGGGATGTTGTTGAAAAATACTACTGTTGTCTCAGACTTAGGCTAGGGTTTAAGGTTTAGGGTTCAGATTTCTATTTTATTGCACATTTCATAAGCATTTGCCTGTAAAAACTCCAAACCCAATTATCTATCCATTTCACAATCTGTAGAATACCATATTAAAATTTGATAATGAACAGAATTGCACGCTTATTCCTTTTCTGGCTAAATTGAACATTTTTTCGTTTTTGCGGATATTGTATATTTGAAATGAGATCATGTCTTTCTAATGTTAAATATAGTTTAATAATTAATGGGTTTACAAAAAAAAGTAATTTATTTATTATTTTTGATAAAAATATCAGACACAAACTTACTATTCACAGTAAAATACAAACTTAATATTCTGCACACCTTCTGGATTTCCATGTGATACCGTATTTCAATTTACATTGATGTATATTACGTCAATTTACACTATTTGTTTCAATCACACAATTTTTCACTCGTGATATCCTGCTAACCAATGTTTTTGTATTTCAATTTTGATAACAATTTCACTTTTGAAAACATAAACTATTGAATTGATGTGAAGTCATTTTTCTTTCTAAACTGACTGAATGACTGGGTGTAACAATGAATTAAATAAATTTTATAATAACTATATTATGAAATTAAAAAAAAAAAAAGTTCAACTCCAATAGCAGACCCAAATGTTTTAATTAATTCTCAAAAATGATTTTTCAGTTAAAAAAAAAAGGTTTCATTAATTAAAATTTATTCATATCCTTATATACTATCAATTTATATTAGATATTGATTAATACTTGCTCAAGAGATAAAAAAAAACTGAATAGAATTCCAGGCATTGGAGGTTGAAAAGATCACAACCATATTTAGTTTATTTTCATAAAAATCTATAACATGGCAATAATAACAATCATAGATATGATTATTTCAAACGCATCAACATAAATTAGGCCATATTTGTTACTTAAAATAGGAACTATAGGCCATGATAAATCTGGATCCATTTTTATGTTGCTGCAGATAGTAGTAAAGAATCATAAAATGTAACAACAACCTATCCATTACATGAAATCCATCGAGTTGAAATAGAAATTTAATCAGGGACGGATTGAAGCACATTGTAATAGATCTAAAGCCATCATAATGACTGTCTAGTTTAGTTTGGAAGACGACTTACACGCGATCTTGCCCAAAACAGACCTTTCAAGATTCAAACTTCCGTCCTGTTGTCATAAAAGATTGAAGGACTGAATATCAGCAGGTATCACATTTATTTTTTAAAGTAGGAACACTACTTCTAAACTCAAATAAAATATTAGAAGTTTAGAGATTGAAATTTATTATATAAATTATGTATTGATAGGTAGAATATATATCATAATCATTATCAACTCTCTCATAAAGGTTGGTTTCCAACCAGAAATAATGGTAACATTGTAAAAATTCCATAATGAAAAAATAATAATATATGTTACACCATAGGCGCAGACTTTCGATTTTGGTTGGGAGGGAGGGAGTTTTTATCATGTATAAAAATTTAACATAATTATTGTGAAATGAACCAATATAATATTGAATATTTAAAATTATTTTTTTTATATGTTTTCATAGTTGTAAGGGTTTTTACCTATTATACATATACTTGGAAATATCTTTAAAAAATACAATTGGATACATAACGTATTTTTACAGCCTTCATAACATTGGTAAATTTCTAGAACTTTTCAACAAAAAATGAATAATTTAAAAAAAGTAAAAAATATTTTTGACTTCTTATTGTGTACAGCCTTAAATAAAAATACGTTTTTCTCAGTCCGACTAGTTTGTCACGGAAAATGTGATAAGAATATCATGTAAAAATTTAGGGATGATTGGATTGTAAAATCGTAGGATATGTTGATATATATTATTATCTTTGAATATAAATGAAAATTTAAATAAAAGTAACATTTAGATATCAATAAAAACAGTTACCTATCTACTACTAGGCCCTAGCCAAGCCAGCTAGTCAACTTTTCTTAAACAATTTTAATTTAAACATTTTATCCATTCATGTAGGTTATTTATAATTGATTTTAATTTTTTTAATCTCAAATTATTGGAAAGGAGACGAAACAATATTCTCGCCCCCCTCCAACATTTTTATGGGAGGGGCGATCGTCCTCCTCACCTTCCCCCGAAGTCTGGGCCTATATGTTACATAATAAATAGATATGAAAATTAGATGATATTTTATGAAATGATAAAATGACAAAATAATGTTGAAGGCCTGGAGCTACAGATGTTTCCAAAAGTTTAATTTTTTAAACTTCAATGAAAATAACTTTAAATATTAAAGTCAAAATGAAAGATAAACAAAATAGAATTTTAAAATATTCTCAATAAAGTCAGCAAAAAAGAAAAGGTAAAAACATTGTTAAGGGCCCAAATGCAATGTTCCATAATCTTGTACATATATTTAGTAATCGACAGAAAGGAATTTCTAAGGCTCAAAATAGAAATATATTGATGGGAGTAAATCTGCATTAGAACCTATAGCAATAAAAAATGAAAAATGCCAAAGATTATTTAAGCCAGTTGAAATAAGGGAGAATGGAAAAGATATTGAAAATAACGGAATAAATGAAAGAGCCACAAGAATAAAACAAATCGGCCATTCCAACATGGACCGGTAAGTGACTTTCACATCAGGATCCTTATCTTTTAAACAGAAAATTAAGTAAAGGATGGAAAACACCAGATATCACTGCTCATTTGTTAGTATTTTTTTCTTCAAGGAACCATAAAGTGTTTTAGTCACGGTAAAAGCACAAATAAGCACAAGATCTTAACAATCCTGAAAAACCACTCATGAGCAAAAACAAGAGTGAGTTAAGGGGTTGAAGGAAAGTTGGAATCAACAAAGCAGGTCTTTAGACTCTAGGTGCTACATATAATTTAGGTATACACAGACTGTAAAGAATATATAAGATTTAAAAAGGGAACCAAAGTTTTCTAGGATCATAATGCAACAGAAATAATTAATAAAACAATTAAATTAATTATCATTATTAAGTTTGATAATTACCTGGGTTCATGTCAATCCCAGCAACAAAAAAAATTTTTCTTATCATTCATGTGCAATAAATTTGTGTTGGATAATTAATTTAATTAAAGAAAAAAATAGGATCCAAATTCTATCACATAATATCCATACCAATTCACATATGCTCTATTAATATTGTTCAGATTTGGAGCGAAAAGATTTTTCAAAAGGACAATGAAATATGAAAAAAATGTTATCGCCCAAAGTTAAGATATTGTAAAAAAACAAGGTGGGGAAATTTCTAATTACAGGGTATAGCATACCTGCATAGATACTGACCTTAGTTATTTTAACAACCTATGTGTACCACAGATTACTAATTTAACAAAAATTAAAAAAATAAATAAATACTGATGTAAAAAAGAACATAACTCCTTTAATATTAACGAAAAATCATGATGTAAGTACCTCGAATGTGGGGGTATCGTCGTATATGAGAGTGCTCATGTTTGACAATTTCCACAACATTGGATACTGTATCGCTGAATCCAATGTCATGGTGGTAGACCCTACGAGGTGAAGGACTTCTTCCAACATCTGCAGGCGAACGAGCCCTCCTAAAGCCAGTATTTTTTAATATTAAAAAACATATGATTAAGAAACTTGAAATAAAATAATTTTACTAATAGAATAATTTTAAAAAGATATATATTTCTAGAGTGTACACACCTTTAAGTACATACATTTCTATACTCCTCAAAAATATGTATATCAATAAAATATCCAACTTCAGAAGTATCAAAATCGGACATAAGATTTCAAAAAAAGAGTTAGATGATGAAATTTTCTAACACTTCAAGATAAGCATGTTTTTTATATGCAAATTATATATATTAAAACTTCAAAAAGAAACATAAATTAATTGTCAGGATATAATTTGAAGGTGCCAAACGTAAAGCCTTGAATCCCTAAAATACTGGTAAACAACTTAAATACTGCTGGGCACTATGGTCCTATAAGGACCTGGACCTCCTCAAGTACTCTAAGCCAGTCATTCCTATCTTTTGCTTGTGTTCTCCATCTCCATACTCCAAGCAGCTTGAAATTTTCCTCGACGTCATCCAACCATCTTCCTCTGTATCAGTTCCCTCTAATTTCTCCATACAGTAGATGTCTTCGTATCCTAGTATTTTTTTTCCCAGACATTGAGTCTCCTCTCACTTTCATTTGTCACAATCCAGGATTGAAAGCCATAAGTAACAGTGGGTCTTGGGATAGTTTCATACATTAAGACTTTTGCTTTTTTTTAAAGAGAATTAAACTTTAATGTTTTTTGTAGGGCATAAAGGCACGTGTTACACACAGACAGCCTCACATTCACTTCCTCTTTCATTTTAGTAAACAACTTACCAGTTAACATTTTGCTAATTCAGACAACACCACAATAGAAAATACACTATAGCATATGGAGAGATAAAATATAAAACATTCCACATCAACTGACTAAAAAGACACATTAGCTCAAAACAATTCATCACACCGATGTATCTAAACAAATATTCCATAGACTCTATGGAGTATCTGTTTAGATAATATAGAGTGTACACTACATGCATGAAACATGTTTAGATGTCTTGTAGTTGAGTTACCATTTCTAGTAGATGTGTATTGATGTGATGTGAGATAGATTTTGTGTACATACTTGTGATCTCTTGTTTTGTGTCCTGATCATGCTCTAAATCGGTATTTTAAAGACTTGAGGTTTTGATTTTGGAATCGATCATTTATATCCTAACAAACTATCAGTTCTTAATGGCCAAACTCTGGGGGATGATTCTAGACAAAATTTCCAACAAAAAAATTTATTTGATGATTTAAAATGGAAAATGAGTTAAGGCCAATTTTATGTTTTTCTTAAGGTAGTCACATTTTTTATTGAATAAGAAGGAATTGCTCAAAAACTGTTCAAGATAATTAACTGTACAGCAGCAGTATTTAATCACTGTTAAAAAAAAAAACTGTCTACTTTATGATGGTGTACTTAATTATTTTGAACAGTTCTTAAGAAATTCTTTATTATTCAATAAAAACTTAAGAAAAACACAGAATTGGTCAGAGCTCCTTTTCCATTCGGAATCAGCCCATGCATCAAATGAACTTTTTTGGTGGAATTGGTTTTGTTTAGAATCACCCCCATTATTTGGCTATCAAGAACCGAGACACCCTGTATATACATATACTTATGTAATAAACATTGGAAAAAACATTCTTTTCACTTTTCAACTAAATTTTAGCAAATATCAGTTAATAAAGGTGATGAAACCAGATTTATGCTTAAACTTTATTCAAATTATAATACAAAAGTTCCTATGTTGAGGTGAATGTAAGCTTCTTCCTTTTTAACTTAAATAACTTTGGATTAACAAACTCAGCATAGAGATCATCACAGTTTTAATTAATTTGGTACAGAAAATTTTTTAACATTAAGTAAACTTTATAATCAGTAATAATAAATTATTAAAAAGAAACAAAGAAAAAAACAAAAACAATTTAAGTTTATTACATAGCCTATAAGTTGATATAGTTGGAAACAACAATAGATGCCTCTGCATATGCATATCATGGTATTATAGTTGCTATAAAAAAATTGTTATATTTGAATTGAACCAACTCTTTTAAAGAGTTGATCTTCTGTATAGATAATTAGTAATTAAACTAGGCTATTTCGGTATCAACAAATGGTATTTTGCTACTTATCGTATCATTATTATGTTGAAACAAATAAAATACAATAAGTTTTAATGGAACAGAGAAAAATTGCATGCACTGAATGTGGACACCATTTATTCTAAAGTTACAGCTAAGTTTTGGAAGAATTCTATTTGATACATCAATTACTATATAAAAATTGCCAATTTAAATCTTCACAGAAAAACAAAATTTATTATTTATTTATATTTTATGCAATTTGCACCTGCGCGGTTGCGCATCTAGCAAATTTGTTGTTTGTATTGTCTTTGTGTATTTGCTTGATATGGTTTTTATTGGTGTAGTAGGTCTCTTGGCCATTTTCTTTTTAATCTACGTTGTTCAGGTAACAGGGAGCAGGAGATAGAAAGAACCAGAGGATTGGAGTGATTTTGGGTTGAAGAATGAAATGTAGTGTATTTGTAGTGGATGTAGGATTTTACTGTTGGGATGTTTAAGTCGTTATGTATAGTAGTATTTGAAATGTACCAAGGTGCTTTAACAATTTTTCGTAAAATTTTTGATTGTGCTGTTTGTATTTTGTTTATGTGTGTTTGTTTTTCTGAATCCCAAAGTTCTGCTCCATATGTCCATATTGGTCTCAGTAAGGTGTTGTAGATCAGTCGCTTGTTTCGTAAGTTAAGTGAAGATCTGTAGTCTAGAAGATGTGAAAGTTGAAGAGTTTGAAACAAAATTAGTCGAATTAAAAATATTTGATAATGTATGAATAAAAGAACTGTTTAATAGTAATATGTATCAAATATAAAAATAACAGGCCTGGTATAGAATGTTAATCTGATGAGAAAAATGTAAGATTCTCTTGGTAGTTGGAAAACATCAATGTGGATATTATGATATAGGATAACATACTAACATGCCAAAGAATCATCTAGACTTAAACAAACTCATGCATATCTTGTGAAGGGGGAAATCATCTCATGAGTTAGGTTGTTGACCTGCCTTATTGATGGTGTGACAGACTCCTCCAAAGGAAAAACAACATTTTGCAATAGGCTATTTAATTTTTCTTATATTGGCTCGTAATGGGGGAATCACAAACCTCTATACTTTTTGTTATCAAAGTGGCATCTTTCCACAATGGACCAAGAAAAAGTGAAATCCAATCCAAGAATTGAAGAGCATACTTTTTTTTTTCCCAAAAGAGTTAGGTCTAAAAGAGAGTACAACTACAAAAGAAAGGCTACATGAGAACCTAATTGAATAAGAAATAGCGACCAGGTCCAAAATATCTTAAACATCAAGAAATACCTTATATGGTATATCTGTATATCTAATGGTGATTACTTGAATTGTTTCGATGCAGTGTTTTTGAAAGATACCATTTGGTGACGTCATTTGAAATATTTTTAGCAATTTTTTTAAATTGAAAGAATACAAAAACTCGAATGAGTAATGAGGACTCATACATTAAACAAAATACCACTGGTTATTATTCCAAACGGAACCGTACTCATTTATTTCTTAATATGACCTCATAATAACTAAGTAAAGTGTATTGATGACGTGATATAAATAAAATATAACTTATATAAAGTAAAATAAAGACATTTTAATTTTTAAAAAACCTAAAACTTTACCTGATGCTGGGAGACCTTGACCTTGGCCTGTGCTGCCTGTAGCTGGACGACGGGTGGAGGTGAGTATCTTGCGTTGATTCGATTGATGGCCTCCTGCTAGGAATCACAACATCCTGAGTCTCCGTTCCCTACAAAGGAAACAAAAAAAATTAGTATATACTGAAAACTAAAACCAAAGATTAATTAAATTAGTTAAGTTATTTTAAATAAAATTTAAATCATTCTAAACCTACTAATTTGGAATATTTATTATAAAAACGACTTTAACACACATTTACTGTGATTGTAACAGTTGAGAAAAAAAAAAAAAGAAAAGAAAAATAGTGAAAAAAAGACAATTACACTAACTGAAATGTTAAAATTTAGATTTAGAATAGATGAATAAGATTAAAAGTAGCATGCAAGAGAAGAAAATACTATGTCATGCATCATGCAACCTTAGTAACGCTACTCAGCACTAATTGAGGAATCTTTAAAGTAAAATGTAGAATAGTTAGTTAACTGTTTAGTTTTGTGTCCCTTATAACATCTGTTAATGTTAATGTTGATGTAATAATATGACAGTTCCCTCAGAGCTAATATTTTTTTTTCTAGAGCTACTTCTTTTTCTTCCTCTATCAATTTTTCTTTAAATTTTTATGTGCTACTTACTTTTATGAAACACTATCCTAAATCTAGGCGATTGATTTAACACTATTATGAAGTAGTACGGAACAATTATAAAAACAAAACAAAAAACTATTTAATAATTGATTAATAATTATAACAATAATCTATATATTCATAAATATATATAACTGTATGTATATCTTTAAGATTATACTAAAATAATATATATTTTCAATATTCCTATCTAATACTAATTGTAAATGGTCTATAACTATGTTATCAACTGTCTATAATGACATCTAAATATTTAGTAATTTTACGTCACAACATTTAACTTCACCAGTTAATAGTAACCCCTTCACCTTTTTCGATCTGAAACAAAAAAGAAAAAAAAAAAGAATGAAATATCGGATCAGAAATATAAATATAAATTATAATGACTTAATCTAAGTAATACTGAGTTGATCAGAAAGTGATGCCTCATAATCCCATGCCTTGTTAGTTAACCTCTGTTACAAATATTTTTCCATTAAACTATGTTTCTCAATCAAAATGCTAGCTGCAGTCAGGTTATAAAAATTCAGACAGTCGACAAGATGAAATAAAATAAAATATATTTTTGTAATAAGGTTAGTTTTTACCCCCTCAACTTCCTGAGATAAAAGAATTGTAGAGATTAACTATAAAAAAAAAAAAATCTCAAGTCTCAATAAATGTTCATGTCTTAGAAGAGTAAAAAAAAACTACATTTTTTAAATAATATTCTGTTCGTTATTATTCCCATGTCCTCAAGATCTCTCATTTTGCTACACTATCATATATGGCATATAACAGTTGGTAGAAAATTGAGATTAACACAGTTTTGAAAATCACTCATATTCCGTGGTACAGACCCCTTTTTATCAAATTATTAACATCCTCCTGAAACTTTGTAAATAACTTCATCTTATTGTAATCAAAAACTATTTTATTTACGAAAACTCTTGGAATTGGGGCGTTTCCAATTAGGAGGTCGGCAAACTTCGTCTATTTAATCAGGTACTAAAAACTCGTATATACCCATTCGCTTTCCACTTGGATCATTAGGTAATTTGAGCACAAAATCATAAAAAAATATTGAGCCATTTGGCGTGACCTACACCCCTAAAATGTCAAAATAACGAGGTTGTATAGGCCGAACTATTCAATATTTTTGTAGGCCACCTTTTTTATAATTTTTTTGATCAAGTTATCTTACAATACTAGTGGAAAACAAATTGGTATTTGAGTGTTTAGTACCTAATTAAATAGACAAAGTTTGTCAACCTCCAGATTGAAAACATCCCTATTCCAAGAGTTTTCGTACATAAAATAGTTGTTTGTTGTTTTATATATATATATATATATATATATATGTTATATTTCGTATCCACTAAATTTATATTGTCAAATCGGATTTTTATATTTTTTTATTTCTGATTTATGTATTTCATTGTCATATTGATTTTCTTTCTTCTGTCTTTTTTTTTTTACAGTATACAATTATTTGTATCTATTTAAGTTTTTAAAACTTCTTCTTCCATTCTTTTCTCTTCATGCCTCTCAGCAGAGAAGAGCCTCTATCTATGATAAATAGTCCTCTCGATAATGTGTTTCACTGAGTTTTCTTTCCTTTTTCTATGTCTAATTTTCTGAAAAATTCATTATATAATATCTTAGATCTGCCTTTAGATCTTTTGCCAGTTGGACGAATTTAAATTATTTTTATTGGGTCTTGGTTACAACAAAACATTCATAAATTTATTATACTCCCTTTAAACATGTCCAAATTACTTTAGTATATATCTATGGAAGGTGGTTTTCGATGAGGGTATGGCCAAATATTCTCTTATCATCTCATTTCTGATGCAGTTAGTCTCTTCATATCTCGCCAGCCACGCCAGCAATTATATTTTATTTCTATGGCAGTCATGTGGTTTATATGTCACGCTATAAACAATATCAGACATAATTAAGAGATAAAGTAGATGATTTTATCATCATCTGTGCCCTGAAGGGGTGCACTGGCTGTTCTACTATTCCAAACTCTAAAAAAAAGAATTTTTTTTTCAGAAAATAGAAATAGTATAATTTTTCTTAACTATTTCAATAAAAAGTAGAAACACATGGGATTAGAAGAGGTGATGTTATATTATTCCTGAAATTATGAGAGAAAAAATAGATCTTATATCATGGATTTTTAGTATTATATAAATAATTTATTACACTTCTAAACAAAGAAAACAGTACTGTCTGATCAATTCAATATGATGATAAAAAATAAATAAATAAAGAACAATTGTATCGATAGGTTTAGTTAAATGAAATTAATAAAATCAATATTAATAAACAGGAATCCCTTCACACCACTCAGATAATTAGGAACTAACTATTTGAACTAATTATAGCATTGGATGATCCAGTTTATTCAGAGTTATTCCCATGGCATTAGCAATCAAATCGGGCTTTTATTGGTTTGTTATTATTCTATAGTAGTAATAAACCAATAGTCATGGATTCGAGCCACAATGACGTTAAGGCTCTAAGGCAAATGAATATAATAAGTGAGAAGTTAATAATTAGCATTTCTGTTTTACCATTTCTTCATTTTTCCTCATATTTATTGTATCTGCTTATTTTTTTTCTCATAAACACACATTTTGTCAAACAGAAATAATATTCCAGTTAACTGAACAGATTTGCTAAATATTACTTAATATGGAAAAGTGACATAAAAAACTTCTTATTTCAACATTTACTTCTAGTAGATAAATAGAAATATATAATTATAATAGATTTGTAATAAAAACTCATCAATGTGAGTATTAAAAAGCCTAATTGGATTTACAATATTTGACTTTGAATCTCCGCGTATGGTCAAATTCCTATGGTATCCCGATTCTCAAAGTCCAAAATTCTTTAAAAAAACTTCAAAGCTTGCTATTATTTCAAAAATGAAATTATGAAAATAATACTCCAAACATTATTCCATTATAAACTCTATAATAACTCGAATCCACTTCTTTCTTTACTTGAATCAATCAATTACTAAAATTCTTCCAAGACCTCTAAAAAGAAAATAGTCTAGAAGTTCCAATATAAAACTATCATTAGAGCGCTACTGGATAGATTCTTCACAAATCACTACCATATCATATTAATCAAACAGCAAATTTACTTATTGTATTTAGAATTTAGCGATGGATCTCAATAAATATATTTTTTTTATTTGTTTCTTTTTTAAATATATTTATCTACAGTTAAACTTTAATTGCCAAGTTTGAATAATTATTTAAACCATAGTTTCGAATTTTCATTATTTTTCTTAACAAATATGAATAAAAATACAAATAATCATATTTTATATATCAAGCACATTTTTAAGAGAATACTAATAATTAGAAAATAATTTTAGGAATTTATTACAATAATTTTAAAAATGAATTTAAGAAATTTACTATTAAATTTGTGATTTAATATAATACTATTAGCAATTCCATGTTAATCAAAATGAAAAATGGAGAAGAAAGATTTTTAAAGCATATTAGGCTGACAGTAAAATAAAAAATTAAAGAATTGGACAGTATATTATTATTAAGATCCTATCTTCTATATATATATAAAAATGAATGTATGTCTGTCTGTTTGTCCTTTGTGCATTACTTAATCATTCATCTGATCGCCATGAAACTTTGGGAAGTTGTTCCGTACACTCCTGGGAAGGTTTCTGGCAAAGTATTTCTGTCTTACGATAATTTTATATATGTAAAAAAAATAAAAATGTAAATGTTTTTTGTTCGAAGCTGCAAAAAAAATGTGTCGCTATAAACTGTAGCACAAAAACGGCTTTAACGATTTTAGCAAAACTTGGCTAAAGTCTTCCCCTTGAAACTTTTTTAATTTATGTGTATAACAAACTTTCCCAAAAACAAGCTGCAAAAATGTTACGATGAATTCAATATTTTATTTGCTGATAACTAAAAAAGTACACACTTTTTGATTGATAATGTCCATATCTATTTGAAAGATTCCTGAATTGCCAACAAAATAAAAAAAATAATCAATGAAATCGGACCATTAACGATAGAGTTATAGAGTTTTAAACATTTACTACTCTCTCTTCAGAAAAGGCCATTTCCTTTTTTTCTTTTTGTTATTGATTAATAGAAAATTTTAAAATTTCTACAGTAATTGAAATTATCATTTGAAGAAGTGATATGATTCTCCTTATGTAAGTCAATACTATTATACGCTCTTTATATCTATTTGTTATTTTCCTCCCAATGTATTCTGGAAGTAGTATGATACATGTTAAATATTTGATTTGCTATTATTTAAAAATATTTAACTCTTGAGTAACTATTATCCCCGTTTATGTTCCTTTTAGAAATCATTTATTTATTGATTTCAGTTTATTTTATTTTATAATAAATTATTTTCTCTAACATTATGTTGAAATAAGGTTGTTTTGTTTACCGTAGGGTTTCTTTGATGAGTAAGG